TCAAGAAAGTGAAAAAACTATTTGAGGAAATTTTCTTAAATTCTTCCACAGAGCTTAATTGCAATTTGCGGCGTTTTTGACGCTCACGAAGTACTGCAGTGAGCCGATTATGTGATTCCTTGAAAGATTGAATTTGTTCCTCGACGCTTGAATTCATAATTTTGCATTAATTAAATTTAAGTTTTGAACTTAACGTTAATACGTATCAAATATGAGGTTTGACAATCATTTAAAGTTTTATGCAGATTATGCAAATCAGGAGTTATTGTATAAAAATCAGAGCACAAAAAAAAAAAAAAAATTATTTGCATTTCACCATCTCGTTCACATTATCGTTCGGCTATACTCACTTTGCTCAATTAAAAGACCGTTTATTCAAGTCATCGCGGCTATAAACAATTCTTTCGACTACGGGAGTATTAAAGTAATTCTTTAATCATGAGCGATTTGGACGAGATCTTGGATTTTGAAGAGACAGTAGACTTTAATTTATCCGATAATCCAGATGCCCTTGCTGTTGAAATATTAGATGAGGATGGTTTATTTAACCTTAATGAAGATATAGGCTTTGAAAATAGTAAACAACTAGATGAAGGTGAGTCTATTAGAGAATTTCCATGTACACCAGAGATGATGGCAACGTGACTTTTAACCTTTATTTAAATAAGGGCCTACTTCGTTAGAAGAGACCAAAGATAGTACCAAAAATGGTGATAATGACCAAACTCAAAGTAGCGAACAACTTATAGAGCTAGATAATAACTTATCCAGTGATACAACACAGCCGCGGACAGAACACTTAGAGGAAATTACGGAATTTAACTTGGATGATCCTGATTTCCTCAAAGAATATGAAGATACAAATAGTGGAATAGATAATGAAATGAACATTGAAGATGAAGAATTTTGGAAAGAATTAGGTGTGGATTCGTCTGATACTTTGGACAAAGAGTCCGGGAAGCTTGAAACAGACAATTCTATTATACCTACATTACCCCCAAAAGAGAACACGCTAAAACCTTCATCAGATACTGATGTTGCTAAAGCTGACGGTAAAAAATCAAATATATCTAATAATGGGAAATCTGTGACAAGGAAATCGAAATCTCCTGAAAAAGAAGACGGTGAAATTATCAATCAAACATCTTCCACTGATAATAATAATCGACAAGCTCAACAACAAAAACAAACACAATCGCAGCAACAATCTCCAGCGCAAAAGCAAGCACAACATCAACGAGCTCCACAAAATTCACAACAAACAAACCACCATTCTCAACAAAACGCTCAAAATTATAGGGGACGAGGAGTGAGAAGAAATAATGAGTGGAATCAAGGAAATGTCGGTGGTGAATTTTTTAATGGAGGCATGTCAACATTTCGGTCGGGATATGTACCGGGTTTAGACGGAATGTCAGGGTATTTTTCAATTTTTATTTTATTTATAATTGGATCACCTTTCCAAGAATGATCATGTCTTTCGTCAAAAATTTTTATTAATTTAATTTAATCCAAAGAATTCCGATTGGACAAATGTCAATGGGTAATTCATCTATGATTCCGAATTTACCTAATATGCCTGGTAGGGTATTTGGAATTATCATTGTTTATGACTTCCAAAACAAAATCATTCATTTCATTTTTATTTTATATTTTGTTGAGAGGCGCATTTTATCATTTTTTTTAAATATATCTCGTAGAACTTACCAAATAATGACTTAATCACCGTTTTTCT